AAGGTGGAGCAAACTCTGCAGCAATCTTTTCGGTCTGTAGACTCTGTACAGATTGAGGCTGAACATAGCAGGACAAGTCTGTCACTAGTTTTTCTGCATGGTTTTAACCTKGCTCAAACARGACTTTCTGGCACTATGGAGTTTCGTTTCTGATTGGATGGCCTTCAAGGGTGCACCCGTATAATAGTAGATAGGAGATCTCTGCTATGTTTCAAGCCTACGTGGTCCCGCACCCAGTATACACAAGGTGCYCGTCCGTGTTTAGAAGAACAAGTAGTGCCCGCCATGGCTCCACTCGCTGCCAAAGTTACATGAATCCTCTYTATTGTCYGTCTTCATATGATCCTGTACATCTCTCGTTCTTTTTTTTTTTTGAAAGGGYAACGGCCTTGAGATATTATCATTGAGCTGACTGGCCYCAGGCAATTCATTAGTAGTTGGTTTTACTCATCAAGTTCCATCATCTGGATTTGAACACAGGTCTCTATTTCAACAGTTCATGGGGCTCTTGGGTGYGCATCTCTCTTTCTTTATGTCTCTCCATCTGAATATGCTTCTCTTTCTGTTTGTCTTCCTCTCTCTCGGTATTCTTGTCTCCCAGCTCTCTCTGTCACTYGATAGAGCACGGTGGAGGAGGTGGCAGGAGTGATCAGGGGAATTGGACGAAGAGATAGACAATGGATATGTCGTTGGGGAGGGGTAGAGGGGAGAGAGACCGGCATCGGGAGTAGGCAGGGCGATTGGGATGGGGTCAAAGAAGAACTGATCTGGGGGGGGAGGGGACTGGGTAGGGAAAGACCAGAACGGGGTGGAGGAGTGGGATGCAAGTGGGACTGGGCAGGTGAGAGGAGAATTGGCCATGACAGGGTTGAGGAGGACTGGCAAGGGATGCAAGACCAGGCCGGGCAGGGTCCAGAAGAGCCGAAGAGGGATCAGKGTGGGAAGGATGKAGTGGGCTGAGGAAGGATGTGAACGGTGGGAGAGGGTGTGGCGAACTGCGGCCACAGTCCGTACGGGAAGAGCACAGGTGACCCAGAGCCAAGCATATACAACRAGGAAACAAGYTTGAGAAAATGGACAAACTTCACAAAATCTGCGTTAAAYACGAAACATAAGGCGACTTTGCTCATTCAACCTCCAAAAACCTCACAGCYCATTGCTCGTATCCACGCTTCTACTCACAGGCCACCATAGCCCGTTCTCCCCRTCATTCAACAGGCGAAGTAGATCCTCCAACTAGTTTCATCCGCCCACACGGAATCATCAGGAAGGTGCACKCCACAGAGTACTTCTGYCSAAAGAGAGACCCTAGGCCTTGTCTCTCACGAATATATGCTCGTCAACCTACCCGTGCCTGCAAATCATAAAATAAACTAAAMTAAAATAAAACAAAAATCGACTCTATTGCAAAAATRGACTCTATTGTCYRCTCGCAAAATGAAATAAAATAAAATAAAATAAAATACAGTAGACACCGCTCACTCTATTSTCCGTACGTTCCCGAACGCTCACTGTCCGCGTGCTCAGCCGAAGCCTAAAAATCCAAAATAAGACTAGGCCGAACCGCTCTATTCTCCGTACGCTGTCAARACTTGCCRTCCGTGTGTCCRGTCGGGGCCTAATATCTCAAAAACGGTTCAAAAAACCCGACAGGACAAGAACGCAAGATATACATAATAAAATATATAATACCTAGAGCACCAAAACACACAACAAAACCCAAGCACTAGATACTCAGTCTCTTGCTCATCCCCGTCGCAGTTCCCCACGAACTTCCTAGGAAATTCCTACCCGCGCCCGACGGTTCTCTGAACCCTTGCGGTTGAAGTCAGAAAAACCTCCCACGGGTACCCGTATCCCTGACACATGCCCAGATCCTTCTCCCTAGGCCTCTTGTTCGAGCCCCGCGTCCGCAGCTTTATCGTCTCACAAAAGACACGCCCGAGGCTACACAATAGCTCGCTTCCCGTATTCTTGGCCAATTTGGCCAAGGCACCGAGAGAGACCTCTGGGGTATACCCCCGGAGGAAACTCTCCACCATGGCATACACAACCACTGATACGCTAAGCGCCTGAGATGTTGTCAAACGCCACAGCCGTTTCAGCGTCGCGGAAAGAACCGCCTTTTTGGTCTTCTTCTCCGAGTAGCTAGCATAATTCTGCATGGTTTGGTATTTCAGTCTACCGTTTGAGCGGAGTGATACCGTATTCTTGGTCTCTGCTACGAAATGCAGCTGCAGTGGTTTAGGTACCACGTACATGACTCCGCCTATAAAATTCCAGTAATTCACCTCACCATCCTTTCTCTCCAGCTTCAGGTTACTATCATAGCACTGCTCGAAGCTCTCGAAAACCTTGTCTGCCACTGCCAYTGGTACCCCCTCATCCTTGTATCCCACCACGATTGAGACGTCATCTACCATCCGCCAACCGTGCACCAACCTCCTATCTGCTCCCAATGCAGAAAGCCACTTCCTCTCGGCCATCGCACACGTAATTGTAGCCAGTACCGGACTCGTTGTTTTTCCCATCGGTATTCCTACCCTTTGCCTCCTGATCCCTTCGCCACACCTCATATACGCGTGCTTCAGATCATAACACACTAATTTGAGAATTGTCTCAAACTCCATCGACACGTATCCTACCTCCTTTCGTGCCGYTTTCRACATCACACAAGTCTTCCCCCTGGTAGCCGTCCTTACTTGTTTCCAATCCCTCTCATCAAAATAACGTAACAACTCCCGTACTCCCTCTTCCACTGCCTCGTGTGGCATCAAGGAGAACATTTCCTTGACATCATAGCATCTCCCAACCGCCCGTGTGCATCCTTCCACTGCTAGCTCMSGATTCGCCCTYTGCATCTTGTCACACRTCTCTWGCACCGAACTCAKRTGAAAATTCGTCCTCTCTRAGTAGCRCGTGATAAGACAGAATAGAGCCATTRCACATCTCCGTTGCCCGATTAGAGCTGGATCGCTACAGGCAGGCGCTATCGGCCTCCACTTCTGTAAATCCTTATCCTTTGGTATCACATACGCCTTTCCGAGCTTCCCGTTCGCCTTCCAGCTTCCCGCTTGCAGCAGTCCCTCATTCTGGTAGTCACTCTTGCACTTCTTCAGTACCTCTTCTTCGATGTCATGGATTCTCTCATAATCCGTGCTCCATGAGAAGACCTTCCCGCAAGCATGCCGGTACATCACCGGGCATATCGGCACTGTATCACCGGCATTTCGGTCGATCGGGGCGCATACCAACCCGTCGTACCGCGACGCCCAGCTTCTGACTTCGACATCCGTCCAGGCAGCCTCCACCACGCCTGCTTCTCTCACACATCTGCCAACATCTAGATCCTCGCCCCGTTCTCCCTTTAGATGTGATGTTGCTTCCAAAATGCCGATCCTTACCTGAGCTAAACCAGTCCACTGATTATCTCTAGTGCCATTCTTCGAATTTGCCACAAAGCCAGGCGTGTCTGGCACCTCTGTCAGTCTCGTTAGCACATGCCCGTCGTGTCTCCCAAGTTCGAACCTCGCACAGCTGCAAACGACCTGCTCAGTGTTCGCAAAACGTCGGTGATTGTGGATTAAGTCCGCAACTGTCCTATTCTTAGTATTCACGACTCTGATCTTCCTTTTCACAAAACTCGCCCCCGGTTCRTCCTTCACCCTCCTCTCCACCACACATTCAGTAATCCTTCTTACTTCAGCCTTCAAGATCCTAGAGCARTACGGGTACTTAACTGTGACCTTCCTTCGAATGCTCACTCCTGTCTTCTGTSTCACCGCCTSATCTATCTTTACCTTAAGCTTGTTCCTRATACTCTTCTTCCTGAACAGTCTCGCGGTCCTGTACAGTCCGATAAGCCTTGACGTTGTCATCYGAGCCATGGATAGTGTCGCTCTAGGCTGTTTCAGTATTCTGCGTAGAGTCACTTTATTCCTTTCCGTYGTCGTCGGCGTCTTGCGAATCTTGASGAAAGTWATCTGTCCACCTTGTTGGCACTCCTCCCTTGCATCCTTGAGACACAAAAGTCCATTCCTCGTCTTAACCTCAGTCATCCYATACCGTGCTMTGGTTTGTTTCCAGCCGTCCGTCCAATGCTCGCCTTCTCTGAATATCACCACCCTCTCCCCACCCGTTCCATCCCTCTGCTGTTCCTCCAGCCAGTTAACTAGCGATGTCCTGGTTCCACAGCTCGTCTCGAAACCTACAACTGCCTTCCCTCTCGTCACGCCTCCAYGTCRCTTCCTCTCCCTCCTTCCCTTCCTTCCTCTCATCCTTGTCCCTATCTGCCTCCCTGCTCCCATCGTGTTAAGGCACGGTGCCAAATCCCGAATCAAGTACCTCTCGAAGGCAAAATCRTCAGCTTCGGTGGTATGCCTGATTGGTAGGATCACAAAATTGTCTACGCCGAATCTTCTCATCCAAYGGYACAGCTTAGGCGCCTTCCCGAGTGCTGCGGTATCTGCTGCTTGCACGTGCTGACGCCATCTCTGCAGAATTGGTCTCGCGGTACAACCAACKTAGACCTTCTTTGTCCAGGGACTCGTAATGATGTACGTTCCTCCCGTCCGCATGTCCAGCRTGTMCTCTTCCAATTGCGCCTTGTCTAAGTACTTTGCCAACCACCTGCACTCTCCATTAAGTCCAAGCAGGATCATCGTAGTTGCAATAGCCCTCTCCACTCTAGCTAGTGCATCGCCGCTGCATCCCCGCCCCCTGAGGGATCTCCGCGTGTCCATGAGCTCCCTGATACATCTCCATAGCTCCTTCGTCAAGGGGGGCACCGCGAGTCAATCCGACTCCGAACACGATTCCTCAGGAGCTGCCGAACGCAAAATAACTCTTGGTTGCTCACAACACATCGCCTTGCCTCTCGTTGTAATGCYCRTCTTCACCACCTCCGCCGATGTCTTCTCGGCTCCATCTTCTGGTCCTTCCATCCTAGCCTTTGTCTTATTCCCGACCATGGTAGGTGTAGTAAAGAAACCCTCATACGCCATCTTCGTCTGCTTTTTAACCAACTCGGCTACCATCTCATCCTTCCTAGTCGACTTTATCCCGTGCTTATCACACAACTCCCGTAGCTGTGACACCCGCTTCTTCGAATACTCCTTCATCACCGACARTGTGTAGTCCACTAGCCCTTGTTGTGAACATCCGGYCGGGATTCCCTTATATTCGCCTGTCAGCGGTGTCTTGTGCTCCCCTGAATAGCTATCCTTCGCTGCTACCGGCGTACGTTGCCTTCGTGAACACTCGCCCTTCTCATACACACTTGCCACTTGTCTAACCTTCTCCTTTCCCTTCGTCGGTCTCTTCTGCGACCTTCTCCATCGCCTCTTTTCTCTCAGTCTTCGTGCTATCTTAAGCGCCTCCCCTTCCGTGTCTTCTCCTGAATCTGTAGAAGTCTCCGATCCCCTCTCTTCTTCAGTATCTGAAGTTCCGCAGTCGTTCAAAATCCTTCGAACTCTCCTTTTCATCTTGCCTTGCGTATTTCGTCCTTTCTTCTTCCCCTTGCGCTGGTCTTCCTCTTCGGTGGTGTCTTAGGACTTGCTCGTGCTGCCGACGTTCTTTCCACCACATTCTCCGTCCCCCCCTTCTTTGCCTTCTTCGACTTCGTAGCTGCCGCCACCTTTGCCGCTTCTGCATTCGCACGCAACTGCTGCCTCCACTTCTCCTCGATATYGGCTTGTAGGAGGAGCCTCATCTCCTCCGTTCTTCTCGCTATGTCCAGTTCACGCTTCCATTCCTCATCCTCTCTTCGTTTTTGTTCCTCCTCCTTTGCCCTACGCTCATGCTCTTCTTCCTTTTCGTTCATCATATTCCGAACGAAAATCCGTACCTCATCCTCCTGCTGCCCGGTCCTTGGTCTTTTCGCCCAACAGTCCCTCGCTATGTGCGCCATCTTCCCACATTCGTAACATTGTAYCCCGTTTCTWMCCCCATTCCCATAATACCCTCTGTTGTTCCCATCCATCCCGTTATTATTGTTGCTACCGTTATTGTTATTCCCTCCTCCTCCGTACATCTCTTTCGTGCAGTATCACGATCTAACAACTTYCGTGTAGTACTATGATCTAAACACTGTTGTATTTAGCGTTTCCCGCCTATTCGAAGGCTATCGAGCTTCACTMCTAGCACCTGTCRCATCTCACRTCATAGCCACCGTAAAGCCTTAAAACCCCKGTTAYTATGCTCTTGAGAGTGGGAGAGGGGATCATTGAGGCTGGTGAGATATGGGACTAGRGTGAGGCTTGGGAAGGAATTGAAATGGTGGTAGATGTAGTGCGGTCGACGGGGGATGGAGGYYATGGAACCAATGAATATTGCAAGTAGGGGGGGAGGTTGGAATGGGGTC